CCCCCATAGCAGCCCTAGGAGGCAAGACAGAAAGCAGCATTGTCTCTCATTTTTAAGATAAGAAAACCTGTTCATAGGAGATGATTGTCAAAGGGTGCAGAACGCCCTAGCTGGTGTGGCTCAGTGGATAGAGCGTCGGCCTGTGGACTGAAGGGTCCCAGGTTCGATTTTGGTCAAGGGCACATGCCCAGGTTGCCGACTCGATCTCCAGGGAGGGGGCGTGCGGGAGGTGGCCAAACAGTGATTCTCCCTCATCACTGATGTTTTTCTCACCCTCTCCCTTCCTCTCTGAAATTAATAAAAATATATTTTAAAATAAAATAAAATAAAAATAAAAACAAAGGGCGCAGAGTGAGTCAGATATTTGTTCTTTTCCACAGTATCATAGACCACTCTGCCCCTGCCTTCTGGGTCTGACATCAAGCCCCATGGTGCCAACGCAGACCCTGAGATCTGTGGGAAGCTGCCTCAGACCAGGAGGATTGAGACACTTCCCCAACCCCTTAGGTCATAATACTGTACATTTTACGTTCCAGCTATTCTCTTGGGTGGGGAATTATTGGGACAGACACCCACCCAAACTGACTCATGAGTAAAGGGGAGCTTTCATGGAATCCAAATTCATGAAGCCATCCCAGAAATTAGAAACTCATTAGACAGCCCTCTGTATACTTCTTTTACAAGGCCCAACATGATCGCCAGCCCTGAGTCCCCTGACTCACAACTGCAGGCCCCAACACCATAGAAGTGGGGTGTCAGAGCCTGGGGAGCACCTGTCTGGCTCACCTAGGTGATGGTTGGCTCTCCCAGCTCAGGCTTTGAGCCCCAATCCATCACTTGGAACCTGGGTAGAGGGTTGGGTCAGCTGTGACAAAAAAATGGGCAGTAGGGGCTGTGACAGGGAAATCCTAGGAGGGAGGGGTGGAGGGACCCAATTATAAGTGTATGGAAAACTGTGAAAGATGTTGAAATTTTGTGGGTGTCCTGAATAATTTACCCACTGGGGTTATCTCTGCCTTTCATTGTCTTTGACTAGACATTTCTCAACTCTAAAGATGGAAGGTAAGTTGTAAAAACTTGATAGCAATGAAAATAATTTCTGTTCACAGAAATGCGAATTGTGGAATACAACTGACTATTACTGCCGTGAGGAAATTAACTAGTTTTGCACCCATTTCTAAAACCATTTCATCATTGCTTATCTATCGTGTGCCATACTTTTGAGTTCTCCTTTGAATTGGTTGTAACATTTTAGCAGTTATCTCATTAATTAATGAGTTAAATCTTTAACACATGTTCATTTTATATCTTAGGAGGGGTGTGATTGCATCCTTTACAATTTACCATTAAATATAGACAAAGCCTGTATGATCACATATGCATTTTAGAAACATTCGTGGTACAGAGGAAAAAACTTCAGAAGGATACACAAGTAACTGTTAGTGGTTACTTGTGGGGGGGAGGAAATAAAGAAGAAGGCGCTTTTCATTTTTGTATGTTAAAATAATTTCAGTGGAAGTTGTCCAGGCAAATATTTAAGGGTCATTTATTTTCTTTTTTATACTTTTCTATATTTATTTTTAAAAAGCATTCATTTGAAGCTGTACTTATAGTTGCTTGGACTTTCCTGTGTTATATTTTTAAATAAAATTTAAAAAACTGGATATACTTTGTCATTAAATTTTGTAAATTTTAAGGGAAAAAGCAAACCAAATAAACTACATCTTGAGCTACTGCTCCAAGCCAGCCATGGGCAGCCAGGAGGTAATTAGGACATGCTACCTGCCCTTAGGGACTAGCATAAAGTTCAGGCCCCACCCATAGGCCAAATGGTTCCAGTCACCCAGTACACCCACTTGTGTCAGGAGCTGCCAGGTGAGGAGCCTTCCTCACTGTTTAACACCTGCTGGCTCACCACCCTCCGGCACCCCTGGCAGCCCAATTCAGGGAACGCTGATGGAAGATCATGCCAGAATGGGAACATCCCTTCCTCCTGGCCCACCTCCCCTGACAGACAACCTGAGGCATCCTGCCCTCTGGCTTGCAGCTGAACAGGGAAAATCACTGCCAAACCACTGTTGTGCAACAGTGCGCTTCTGAGAAGGGTACACAAAAGGTTCGTCAATTGAGTCCTGTCTTCCTCCTAACTTACATGATGGACCCAGTGTGCTCTGCTTGCAAGCTCTTGGGTGCCGCACCTACTAGTATGACTCTCAACACTTTCTATTCTTCCGTCTTCCTTAGCCAACCTATAAACCAGTATTTAAGTACATGAGGATAGAACCTTCCTTCTAGGAATTCCTCCATCAACCAAACTTGGATACTGTTTTCTTTTCTTTTTAAAAAAATACTGGTATATTGTTATTATTTATTTCTGAGAGGAAGGGAGAAGGAGAGAGAGATAGAAACACCAACGATGAGAGAAAAATCATTTATTGGCTGCCTCCTGCACACTCCCTACTGGGGATCGAGCCCACAACCTGGGCATGTGCCCTGACCGGAATTGAACCGTGACCTCCTGGTTCACCGGGTTCATAAGACGACGCTCAACCTTAGAGCCACACCAGCTGGGCTCTGCTGTTTTCTTAATGTGTATATGTGGTGGTGGAGGCAACACCAACAGGCAGTACGACCATCTCTCTGCTCCAGGAACCTCCTCTGACCTTTAGCACAAGTGTGTGCAGTCCCTTGCATTGGGCGCATCTGCAGGCAGATCTTCATTAGTGAACTCTGGCCTAGGAGGACCCAGGAAGAAGGAAAGCATGAGCCTGCTGTCTCCTTTCACTCACTACACACGCTCAGCTGGTCTGACAAGGGCCAGCCCTCCCCACTAAGCACAGAGCCACAGCCACTCCTGAATCCTAAAGCTGGTACTGCAGAACACCTTCCCAAGCATCACACTACTTATTTTTAGTTTTTTAATCTTAAATAAAGAACTGGTTGGCTAAAATATAACTTGAACTTTTGAAATATTAGCTGATCTCATTTGGATTTCTTTTTATTTATTTATTTATTTATTTATTTATTTATTTATTTATGTTACAGAGAGAGAGAAAGGGTTGGGGGGGAGAAACATCGATTTGTTTTCTACTTATTTATGCATTCATGGGTTGACTCTTCTATGTGCCCTGACTGGGATCGAACCCGTAACATTTGTCTATCGGAACGATGCTCTAAACAACTGAGCTACCTGGCCAGGGCAGAACAACACTTCTTATAGACTATTGTGGGGAAGGAGAGCCTTATCCTTAGTGACACTTCTTGGGGATGTTTGAGCCTAGATCCCAATGTTGTCTGACCTTATCACTCTCTCCCTAAAGTGCTTCATTAGTTCCCCATCGCCTCCAGAATCAAGGCCAAGCTCCATGGTCGGCCTTCAAGTCCCTTGCTCCCAATATGGCCCCAGCCATATCTCTAGACCATCTCTCTATGCCATGTACCCTCCCGCCTAACCACTCATTCACCCCATGCATGCTTGTCCAATTTGTGCATAGGTTTAAAGGCTGTTTTCCAAGTCCTCATAGCTGCCCCAAAAGCCTCATTTCAGCGGCAGACTCTCTTATATTAATTGGTATCATCAAAATTGCATTACTATCTATGCAAACGCAGGCATGCCAGTGCCTGTTCTAATGCAAGGCCTTACCCTGCTGCTCACACCATTCCAGCAGCTGCACCTGGCTGAGCATCACACAGACCACTTTCCAGAATGGCTCTCTCCACAGGAGCAGCTGCAGACTCCTCCCACCTCCCCAAAGCTCACTGCCACGGAGCAGAGGCAGTTGTATTAGGACACTTCATGGCATCTCGCTGCCAAAGTGACAGCTACAATTATGTTTTGGCCGACAGCTGGAGCTGAGAGAATACACAAACAGCCAGACCTCATGAGCCTCCATGAATCAGCAGTTTGCGCTTTGTGTCCAGCTGGTAGGTGGGGTGGGCCACCCTGCCAGTCGTCCAGCCCTCCCTTGGTGGGCAGAGTGCTTGCTACAGACCTCAAGTTAGCACTAGGGACTCTTAGGTGAAGCCCACCACTGGATGGTGATAGTTAATGCCCCCTTGGACCATCCCAGGTATCAGAGGAATAGAAGAATAGGGTGGCCAAGCCCAGGCAAGATCCAACCCAGAGGCACAGCACTTAATTTCTAGACAAAGGCAGAGACAGGCAAAGCAAAGAGTCAAGTTCCCCAGCGGGGGGGAAGTCCATAATGCTGGGTAGCCTGGTGTGGGGTGTGCTCGTGTTAGGCAGAGGGTCTCTGTGGAGGCCCCAGGGCACCACCTCCATGAGGAGCCTCAGGGCCACAGGCTGTGAGCAGAGGAGTGGGGACCAGGACACGGTAGCAAAAACAGCTGCAGAGGCAGCAGCTCCCATTCACTGAGCCTTCGATGGGCCAGGGACCGTGCTGACCACTTTACATATGTTCCTTCTTTTCATCTTCATTGCACCCAGTGAGGCAGATTCTGTTATTATTCCCATTTTACTGGTGAGGAAACTGAGTCTCCAAGAGGAATGTGATGGAGGCTGTGCAGCTGGCAAGTGTGACCTGTCCTTTCTCTCTTAACCACAGGCTCTCTGAGGCCACAGCACCTGAAGGTGGGCTCCTGAGTCCAGGCCCTGCCTTTTACTCAGCCCTGACCTGGGCTCTGGCTGAGTCTCTGAGAGGGGCAGGCTCAGGCTCTTGGGGTCCTCCAAGGGGTGCTGCTGCCCTTCTTAGGCCCCTTGTTGGAGCTGAACCTGCCTATCCTCGCATCCTGTCCAAACGCATGCAGAAAAGGAGGCAGCAGGCTAGCAACTCTGTGCAACATGCTTCCAAAGTGGGCGTCTGAAAGGCCAGTGGGGCTGGGGTGCAGACGTGTTTGTATTCCAAGTGGCTGCTGCCCATGAATCACCAATTTCATTTTGTGCTCTCAGCTCTGTGAAGGCATCGTTTCTACCCAGCCTCACATGGAGCTGGCGGCCAGAGCCTCTTAGTGGGGCTATAAATAGCAGATTATCAACTCACCTCCTCTGAGCTCATCATAGGCTCTTCGGTTTATTGTGTATCTTCCTGCTGCCTGCACGGCACTCACTCAGATTTCCCAGGTGAAGCCTGGCTGAGACCCAGTGCATGCTCTGGGGTGCTGCAGGGTTTGGGTTTCCAGATGTGTTCAGGGTGACAGTGAGGGCAATGGCAGACTTTTGAAGAGCTTAACATTTAAGATGTCATAATTATAATCTCAGGTCTCTGAGCTCCTTTCCAATTAAACGCAGCAGCAAGGGACTGTCATTTCTCTAAAAGCCCTAGAAATAAAAGGCAAGGGGCTCAGCAAACACACACCCAGAGAAAGTCACCTAGAGTGAGTAGCAACAAATGAAAGGTTTCATGCCTTCCTGTGGACATGTCTCCTAACACTGAATGAAATACTTTATGGCTCTCTGGCTTCAGAAGTGAGATACACTGAATGAAATACTTTATGGCTCACTGGCTTCAGAAATGAGATCGCATTTTTTAGTATTACTCATAGCTACCATTTACGGAGTGCTCCCTGCGTGCCAGGCTCTGTGCCCAGCCTTTGCACGCTGTATCTCATCAAGTCATCACAACAGCCATATTGAGTTAATGCTAGCATCAGCAGCTTTCTGTAGTGAGGAGGCTGTGGTTCCAGTGTCACACAAACACTGAGCTCCTGCAGAACAGGGCTGTGTGTGTCCACGTGTATCCATGCATGTGTCCACGTGTGTGTGCAACCAAAGGGATTTGAACTGTAGTCTCCAGCTCCATGCACTCCATGACTGTATATAGGAGCCAGATGCTCACAGATTCATCTTTCCCCAAGTTCCAGGCCCCTTTGGCATCCTGCATGTTCCCCTGTCAACATCTTCTCTCAAATCTGATCCTCTAGTTCTTCTGCAGGGAGAGCACTAGCCTTCATTTGGCCCAGATCAATGATCGTCCTGCCTCCTTCCTCTAGTCTCTGAAACAGGCAGAGATCAGGTGAGACTCCACCACCACTCTTGGCAGCCTCTCTCCAATCTGTTTCTTCCTCTCCCTCTCAGAGCACAGCCCCGTGTTTCAGGTCTGGTCCCTCTTATTGGCTTGTCACAGTAGCCTTCCAGCTCAGTGCTGCATCTGAGGAATGGATTTTTACAAAGCTCTTCCAGTGATCTTGGTAGCCAAGGTTAAGAACCACTTTGTTTAATTGGCCTCCTAGATTCTAGCCCAGCCGTGGGCAAACTACGGCCCGCGGGCCGGATCCGGCCCGTTGCTGCATCTGAGGAATGGATTTTTACAAAGCTCTTCCAGTGATCTTGGTAGCCAAGGTTAAGAACCACTTTGTTTAATTGGCCTCCTAGATTCTAGCCTCTCTCTGTTCTAAGCCCTCCCACCCACAATTATCAGCTTAATTTGTTAAAGCACAATTGATCTCGTGTCACTCTCCTGTTCAAGGTCCTTGGGTAGCTCCCCACTACCTGCAGAAAAGTATAAAGCCCTTAGTGTGGCCTTAGCTGGTTTAGCTCAGTGGTGTCAGCCTGCAGACTGAAGGGTCCCCAGTTCGATTCCGGTCAAGGGCACATACATACCTTGGTTGCAGGCTCCTCCCTGGTCCAGGCCCTGGTCGGGGCGCGAGCAGGAGGCAACCAATCCATGTGTTTCTCTAACATAGATATTTCTCTCTGTCTTTCCCTATTTCTTCCATCTTCTAAAAATCAATGGAAAATATCCTCAGGTGAGGATTTTTTAAAAAACACACACAACAACAATAAAAAAAAATAAATGAAATAAAGCCCTTAATGTGACATTCAAGGCCCTCTCCATCTTGGTCCATTGCTAACCCTTTGCCCCACCCCACAGACCCACCTTTTCCTGTGACAGCCTCCTGACCCTGCTCCCTCTCCTTAGCTTTTCCAGACTTTAAATGTTGGGCACAGCAGAGCACATAGAAAGAGCAGGGAGCTTTCCTTAAGACATTAAGTCCTTCAAAACAAGGAATGAGAAATTACTGTTGAAATGCCCCCTCTTAATTCAAGAGCCACATGTGTAGCTTTAAATGAAGAGGGTTTTGTGTGGCCTGCAGATGAAAGGAGATCCGCCAGTAGATACAACACAATAGCAGTAATGTGTAAACACAGGAGAGCAGGAGAGGTGGGGCTCATGATTAATTCAAAGGAGATGGTATTTCGGCATTCTCCTTGCTTTTATTCAAACCCAGAAGACAGAGCAGGTTTGGTAAGCACTGGGGCTTGGGCCACATTTCAAAGTGCCCCTCATGCTTTTTTTGTCCCCTATTCTTAGACAAAAGCAGAGAAACATATTTGAATTTTGTTCAAAAGATCAAGGGTGTTTTACTAATACTATTAAACAATGTGTGTGTTTGGACTTTGCTCTATTTCCCATAAAGAAACACCTACTTCATAATCAAACAAAAATGACTGTGTTGACTGACAGCATGAGAATGGGGCCTGGAAATTGTTCCCAAGTGCTTCAGAGTGAAAACAGACCCTAAAGAAGCTCTTGTTAAATGCGGCAGAAGAGCCTCTCATGAATCTCTGCTCCCTCCCAAAACTCTGCCAAAAACAACGATAAAGGAATAAAAAGAGTTGCAAATCCATAAGGTATATGAGAATAGGAGATGGCAGCAGATGAAGGATGCTAGCACATTTTAGGAGTGTGGGAAGCAGAGGAAGAAGCAGTGAGTCACATGGCAGCATGGGGGAGGCAGGAGGCTGATGCCTGCAGAGGGGTTCCCTGTGAGAAGGTGAGAAGCACGCCAAGCTGCAGGGAAGGGCAAAGCTGCAAATGGGACTGATGGGGCCTCCGTGAGAGCACAGTCCCCGTGGGCAGTGGAGTCGCCACACCTTGCCCATTCCCACAGGAGACCTGATATGCTCAGTGGAGAATTTGCATCAGCACATGAGGAACTATGGAGGGTGGGTATGAAGTGCAGAAAATATGGGGGCTAAACAGAAATCTAGATACTAAAAGGTTAAGTCCCAGCTCCTTTCCTCACCCTGCTTCTAGACAACCTGGCAGCCAGGCACACCTCTTACCCTCAATTGAAGACTAAAGAACCCTTTTCTGTGGGAACTGAGAAGAATCAAGGGTAAGACCTCCTAATACAGACATTTGGGATCCCCATTGCAAAAGCCGCTTTATGACCAACGCCCACTACAGGGAAGTCCACCATTAGAAAAGCTCCACCCAGGCATGCTGACCATGCAATCATCTCTGTAGCACAAAACCCTTACATATGAATGGAGAGTCAAGATCCTCAAACTTTTAAAAAAATTTTATGTATTGATTAGGGAGAAAGAGAGGAAAGGAAAGAGGGGAGGAGGGAGAGAGAGAGACATCAATTTGTTATTTCACTTATTTATGCATTCATTGGTTGATTCATATGTGCCCTGACCAGGGATCAAACCCACAACCTTGGCATATTGGCACAGTGCTCTAAGCAGCAAGATCCCTAGACTTTTAAAGCAAGCCTCAGACATGACAGACAGGTATGGGGGAGTAAGGGCGAGTGGGAAGGGAATGCATAAGTTCAGGGAGGAGAAGAAAGCTTTAAAAATACTATAACATACTCAGGGAGGAAAAATAAGATTTATAACTCATGGTTCATTATCATGAAATGTCAGAACATCAGGAATAAAGAAGAGACCCTAAAAGGACACAGGAGGGAAAAATAGGTCAATTGAAAGGATCAGGGATCAGAATGGCACTAGACTTCTCAGCAGCAGCACTAGAAGCTGAAAGACAATCGAGTGAAATTTTCAGAATTCTGAGTGAGAATTATTAATGGCTTAGAATTCTAAACCCAAATTATTTTTTTAATTTTTTTATTGATTTTTTACAGAGAGGAAGGGAGAGGGATAGAGAATTAGAAACATCGATGAGAGAGAAACATCGATCAGCTGCCTCCTGCACACTCCCTACTGGGGATGTACCCACAACCAAGGTACATGCCCTTGACCGGAATCAAACCTGGGACCCTTCAGTCCACAGGCCGATGCTCTATCCACTGAGCCAAACCAGTTAGGGCTAAACCCAAATTACTAAGAGAAGTAGTAGAATAAAAGATGCTTTCAGACATGGGAGATCACAAATAATTTGCCTTTCATGTTCCCTTTCTCAGGAAATTGTCCACCCAAACAAGAGTATAATCCAACAATGAGGAAGACATGCCCATGCGAGGTCAAAGGAGGCTCTGGATGACAGCAGGACAGGAGTGCCCTCTGAGCCAGAAAATAGAGGATTTTAGGTCAGAGATGGGCCAGAGGATTACCTGACAGATGTGACTAGGTGGGAAATTTTGTTGAGGGGCTATTAGAGGGTTGTGAGAATTAATAAGTTTATAAAAAAGTGAATAAATTAAAAAATGTGAGGCAATTACTACCTACAGAAAAACTACAACACATAAACTGCAAAAGAAAAGAAAATGCAACACCAAAAACATTTATATAATCATAACAAGGTAAAAAAAGATAACTGATTTAACCAAAGACTATGAAACAGGTTGGGATGCTGGGGAAAAGGAAAGGAAGATGCAGGAAATGGCTAAACAAACAAACCCTCATCTTCCATAATTGCAAGAAAATAGTAATGTCGAAAACTGACAAGTCAACAAATTGGCACTATAAGTATATTATTGGAAAATATGGGGGAGGAGATTAAAACTGGGCAAAATAGCTGAAAAAGTTTAATTGGGTACCTCTGGGGATCAGGCTGGGGGTTGGTGTTGGGTGGGATAGGGGACTGCTGTTCTTGACCATATGCCTTTAGTACTATTTGACTTTAAAATTTGTGTGTGTGTATATATATAATTTTCATTAAAATAAAATTTAAATTTAAAAAGAAAATCAATAGAAAATATCTTACATGGACAAAAACAAAATTTTTAAAGTATTAGTTACTCATTAATCACAGCTCTGAATTGTTTCTATTGGTCTTCCTCTCCATTTATTCATTCACTTAGTCATTCATTCATTTATTTTCTCTCAAAATCTTAAATGTTGATTGGAAAATGTGGTAGGGTTGCCAGAGAAAATACATTCAAATTTAACCTATTTTATTTGCTAAATCTGGCACCCTAAAATATAGACCCCACAATCTAGGTCTGCGGCTAAAGCGATTAATGGAACCAGAAAGCTCTGCAATTAATATTCATAGTGTGGGAGATGTGTAAAGAGGCTGACAAAACTTCCTGGTCAGATGCTGAGCAGTGATTTGATATCTACTCAAGACATGTATGACGTGGTGCTAGCAGCTCCTTGCCAGCCTCTGTGAACCCAGAGTACACTTAAAGGGAAGCTGGGTTTGCCTGAGGGCTCTATACCTGGGCTCAGGAGCTGTGCCCAAAGGCTCCTGCAGGGCACAGAGGTCCCTAGGCTGCATTTTCTCTTCTGAGAGAGAGCAGGGCAGGATGACAAGGGACCTCAATTTAGGTAATTTCAGGAGTGGGACCATACCCATGTCACCAACTATTGTTTTTTATTGAAAAACTATCTCTTTAAGCAAATTTACACAAGTTCCTAATCTTGTCTACAATGTGCTTACTAAAAGTTTCACTCTCAAAGGAGAGTTTTATTGTTGTACTGTGTTGGGAGATTCTCTACCACTGACTAATGGTAGAAATGTAATCAACTTTTCCCTTTTGTGCTGGGAAAACTATTCTTTGTGGTTAATAGAATTAAGACTAGGGATATGAGTCCTCCTGAAAGCTAAATTCATCCCCAGAATATATAAATATACAATTTGGCAATACACATACATAAATGTATAAAGAGAAACAACTAGCCCTAGCTGGTTTGGCTCAGTGGATAGAGCATCAGCCTGCGGACTGAAGGGTCCCAGGTTCGATTCCAGTCAAGGGCACATGCCCCGGTTGTGGGCTCGATCCCCAGTAGGGGACATGCAGGAGGCAGCCAATCAATGATTCTCTCTCATCATTGATGTTTCTCTCTCTCTCTCTCTCTCTCTCTCTCTCCTCTCTGAAATCAATAAAAAGAAACAATTAAAATATGAATATTTTAAAAATGAGGATGAACACAAACATAAAGCATTTTTGTTACTTCACTATTATTTATACCTTATGTGAACAGAAGTTAACAGCAGCTAGGCAGGCAACAGGTTTCAGAAATCAAACTGGGATTAAGATGAGTAGCTATAGGGTCTTATTCTATAAAACTACTGGTCAGAATAACAAAAGAGACTTTCTAAAAACAAAGAGCTGTGCATGTGTGTGTGTATACATATATATATATATACATATGTATGTGTGTGTGTATATATATATATGTGTGTGTGTATATATATATATATATATGTATTTAATTGTAAAATATTTAGTTACCTAGTTCAATCATGAATCTATTATAGATGTGAGATGACTGAGGGCTCAGTTCAACCCAAGGGGTATTTAGTATTTTTCAGACAGCTCTAATTGTTTAAAGTTCTTCTATTTAAAGATGAAATCTGACTTTATATAGCTCTTACTCTTTAGCCCTATGCCTGCCTTGAAAAGCAGAAAATAAACCATCTTCTACAAAACAGCTCTTCAAAGATCTGAAGACAGGCATAGGGCCTCTCCAACTGTGCCTCTTCTCCCACATTACCTGATCTCCAGCTCCCCTTCTCCATCCCTCCCTTTGAGCACTTTAGTTCATCAATGCTGTGCTTAAAATAAGGCACTCGGACTGAACTTCTCCTGGTATGGCCCGAGGTGTACAAAATAGCGAAGAACTCTAACTTTCTGTGATCTTGAATGCTGAACATCAATTCAGTTAGGTAAAAGCAGCCACTTGACTGCTGTTATAAGAACATCAATTTCAAGGTTTCTGGCAGAGAGAGGACTTGTTTAATTCGTTTAAAAAAAACCACCAACCTTACGCTTACATTTACAACAGGCTAAACATTCATGCCTTTTGATACAGAAATACCAACTGTGTCCTCTGTTCCCACATTACCTGGGATTTATATATATAATCCTCACCCAAGGAAATTCATTGATTTTAGAGAGAAAGGAAAAGAGAGATAGAAACATCGGTCTGAGAGAGAAACATTGATGGCTTCTTCATGTATGTGCTGTCTTCCTTTTATTAATATTAACTAGCTAATTATGATGCTAACAAAGAAATTAAAAAATGTGAGAGCACTCATTGCAGTCTTGCACTATTTACCTGCTTTAAAGAGGAAGCCTGCAGCTGGTAGGTATGGAACTTAGGTCCAAACATTCTAGAAGGTACTTTGGCAAAACATAGTAAAAGCTTTAAAAGTGTGCAGTTCTTTGAATGAGGAATTCCACTTCTAGGAGTTTATCAGGAGTAAAATAAAACCTAGATGTCCATGGAAGTTTAGTTGAAAGGACAAGTCACAGTGGCATTCATTAAATTTTTAAATTATAATTAAATAGAAGAATGTTTTGTTTTAGAGCAGTAGTTTAGCTCTGAATTGACTCACACTCAACAAGAACAACGACAAATAGAGAAACCAGCTGCAGCCTCCAAAGTTTTGTCAGGAGCTGCCAAAGGTGAGAAAGAGTAGGAAACCTGGTGAAAAACCTTGAATGAGAAGGGGATGTAGATTCTCAGAGAGCTTAGAAAGCTCTTATTATTATTATTCCTTTCCAGAACGGGAAAACCCCACTTTGAAAGGGAACTATGAAAACAAGTCCTAAATCATACAAAGAAAGATTGCTAGGGACAATGGAAAGCACTGGAAAAAGAAAGGTGGGCGCCTTCTCTTAGAAACAAAGGCTGTAAAGAAATCTGGGAAAGAGAGATGGACAGAGAAGCTCTCATCAACCACGCTTTGAAATCCAGAGAAGAGGTGACTACTCACAGAGACCATGTCTGATGTTTGTCACTGTGGCAACAGAAAGAGTTCCCTGGCCACACCTTTCCACCCCTCCAACACTTGTTCAAGGCACAAAACAGTGGAGCAACGCCTACAAGACACTCAAAGAAAAGTAAAGTTTAAGTATAAAGCCTATAGACAAACATATTGAAAACTGTAAGAAATCGGGAAATATCATGAGCCTTTTCTGAGGAACCTACTAGAACCATGGAACAGCAGTCTCAGTACTACTGAGCGAGTCTGAGGAAATCCAGGTAAAAGGCCCCTCCCTGAGCATGAAATGTACTTGACTACAGAAATGAGAGTAAAACCAACACAGAGGTTAGGATGACAGATCAGAATGCAGATGTTACATTCCTTAATATGATAGATATTTCTCATCACTAATAAAAAACTGAAGAAGAAAGATAAAAGATAGGAATAAGAATAAGCTCACTGCCCAGCCAGCATGACTCAGTGGTTGAGCATTGATCTATGAATCTGGAGGTCACGGGTTCGATTCCAGGTCAGGGCACATGCCCAGGTTGCAGGCTCAATCCCCAGTGTGGAGTGTGCAGGTGGCAGCCCATCAATGATTCTTTCTCATCACTGATGTTTCTCTCTCTCTCCCTCTCCCTTCCTCTCTGAAATCAATAAAAACATATATTTTTAAAAAAGAATAAGCTCACTGATCACCTCAAATTAATTGATTCAAAGGATATTATTTAAAAATTCCAAATAAAGTAGAAGCTTAAGCATATTTAACATAAACACTAGGATTGATAATTCCATTGATTGTATGATGGAGGAGGGGTCAGGGGGAGAGGATGAGATTACAAGATAATTTTATTATTGTTCATAGTAGGTATTTAGAAGATACAGTCCCTAAAGAGAGTGGATCAACAGTATTTTATAAAGGTAACTTCTAGAACAAAAATACAAACTTTCCTAAATATCAGAACCACATTAAGAAAAAGGGCAACTACATAATGAAAACACATTAAAAAGTATAGAATTGAGACCAAATATATCTGTTATCTCAATAAATATAAATGAGTTTAATTCATCTATTTTATTTATTTATTTGTAATTTTTTAAATCCTCACTTGAGGATATGTTTTTATTACTTTTTTAGAGGGAGGAAGAGAGAGAGAGAGAGAGAGAGAAGAGAGAGAGAGAGAGAGAGAGAGAGAGAAATGCACCCCGACCAGGGATAAGAACCTGCAGCCTAGGTATGTGTCCTGACCAGGAATTAAACCCACAGCCTTCTGGTGTTTGGAGAATGCTCCAACCAGCTGAGCCACCTGGCTGGGGCTAACTCATCTACTTTAAAAATAGTTTTCAAAATAGATTGCAAAGCCCAATCCAACTATAGGCTGTATACATACAAGACAAAATAATTCAGAAAGCTTAATAATGAAAGGATGGGCAAAGAAAAGCATACAAGAAAAATACAAACTTTAAAACTCTTACTATCTGACAACATAGAATTTAGTACAAACAGCTTCAAGCAAAATAAAGAGAAGTAGTTTTTAATGCTAAAGGCTACAATTTACCATAAAAATTAAAGATATGAGTATATATGCACAAAATAATACAGCAGGAACTTTCATATAATAGAAACTATAGAAATGCAAGGAGATTTAGACAAAGACACACTAATAATAGAAGACTTTGATTTGCTTTGCCCAATTCCAAACAAATCAAGTAGTCAAAATTAAATGAGAATTTAGAAGTCCAAACAATATAATCAATAAGGTAGATGTTACTGATATGTATCAAACACTATGCCCTGAGAATAGAGAATATACTTTCTTATCAAGTGGTTTGAAATATTTGTACACACAAAAGATTATATGTTAGGCCATAAACCAAATCTCATTAAATCATCACAGTAAAAATAATATAGATAGCATTCTATAATAACAACACAATAAACATTGACATTTATAACATACTAGCATTTAGAAAACAAAGAGTGCCCTTCTATTTGGATGTATGTGGGGGTATACATTAAATAAATCCATAATCAAATGAAAAATACAAATTCAAAACTGCAGAATTTCTAGTAAACAATAATAATGAGCATATATAGAAGGATCTAGGGATATAGTTAAAATAGTACTCAAAGAAAAATTCACCGCCTTAAATAAGTATATCAACATAAATAAAAGAAAAATAAATGAAATAAACAGCTGGCTTAAGAAACAAGAAAAAGAAGTATAAAATAAACCAAAGGAAAGCAAAAGAAAAAATAAATAAAGATAAATACAGAAATTAATCAGTGAATCTAACAAAATATAGTAGAACTTATAAATAAATAAGCTTATTCTTTTAAAAAATTCAATAAATTAGGTAAGTCGCAAGCTAAGTTAATCATAATGAAGGAAAGGCACTAAAATCCAAAATAAGAAATTACAAATGGGAAATAGTCACACAAATATTAGAAAGTAGAAAACAAAACAAAAACAAAAAAGAATACCTTATACAATTTTATGCAGATAAATTTGAAAACCTATATGAAATATATAATTTCATCAGAAACTAAAGATAGAAAACCAAAATAGACCAATTTGCATAAATTTTTCAAAATAATTTGAATATAATATTATGCATAATATAACATATAGATATAATGCTATATAAGTTACAATAAAACTTTTAAGAAATAATTTTGTCAAAATAATTAGATAAAATTTGTCAAACACCCTTCTCCCTCCCCCCAGAAAACCTAAGAAACATCAGGTTCATTGTTTTATAGGGGAATTCAACAACTCTACTAACCTTTAAAGAACAAATGATTCCAGTGATTTTTGAAAATGCTCCATAGCCTAGAAAAAGAACAAACTCATTTCAAAAAGAAAATGTAAGTACATTGATATCAAAATATAATAACAATTGTAAGAATAAAGAAAAATAGGCCAATCTCATTTAAAAATATCAATACAAAACTCCTAAATAAAATTTTAGCAAACAGAATCCAAAAGCACACTGAAAGAAGAATATATTATGACCAGCTGGTCAGTGTGGCTAAGTGGTTGAGCATTGACCCATGGACCAGGAGGTCACAGTTTGATTCCTTGTCAGGGCACATGCCTGGGTTGTGGTCTTGACCCCCAGTAGGGGGCATGCAAGAGGTAGCTGATCAATGATTCTGTTGCATCGTTGATTTTTCTATCCCTCTCCCTTCCTCTCTCTGAAAACAATAAAAACATATTTTAAAATAAATAAATAAAAGTTATTTTTTTAAAAAGAATATATGACCAAATGGAGTTTATTCTAGGAATGGAAATAAGGTTCAATATTAGAAAATCTAATATAAATCATATTATGAACTACTGAACCACTGAGCCAAACCGGTGGGGTCATATTAATAGTTCTAAATAGAAAATCATGGGTAGCTTTATAAATATTGAAAATGCATTTGATAAATACTTATTCTTGATTTAAAACATTTAGTAAAATGGGAATTAATGGGTAGTTCCTCAAAATGAAAAAAAAAATTCTTAGCAGAAAAGCAATAGTTTGCTTAACAGGGAAATGCTAGAGACTCTAATATAGAGAATATGTTAGACTTAATAACCAATGCATTGTAGGCATGAGAAATAAATTAGTGGTAAAAGAATTGAAGAAAAACCTTCCAGATTATTTTTCTAGCATATCCTCTAGAATTCTCTTAAGGTTTCCAGACCCAAAAGGATTAGAGAGGAATGTTCAAGGTAGTATTAGGAGGTAAAGGAAAGAGGATGAGCAAAAAGAGGAGGAAGGGAAGGAGAAAAGGAAAAAAGGAAAAGAAAGAAAGATTTGGTGGTTTGAATACATTTGACACTCCATCCAAAATGTGGAGCCTATTTGTTAAAATATGTTTTTATTGACGAGAGAGAGAGAGAGAGAGAGAGAGAGAGAGAGAGAGAGAGAGAGAGAGAGAGAAACATCAATGAGAGAGAAAATATCAACATTAATCAGCTGCCTACTGCATGGTCTCAATAAGGATCAAACCCATAACCTGGTATGTGCCCTGAACAGGAATCGAACCGGTGACATCCTGGTGCATAGGTTGATGCTGAACCACTGAGACACACTGGTGGGGTCAAAATATGGAGCCTGAATGTGTACTGGACTTAGTGACTAATGAATAAGTAAAAAATGATGTTATGTGACCTAGGAATCCATGTCATGAAAGATTGTAGCTTCTACCTTGCTCTTTCTTGACTCACCTGCTCTGAAGGAAGACCCCTGCCATATGAGGACACTCAAGCAGCCCTGTGGAGAGGTCCATAGTGAGAAGCTGAGATTGTGGCAAACAGCCATGTGAGTGAGCCATCTTGGAGGTGGCTCCTCTGGCCCTAAACAAGCCTTCCCATACATGAAGCACCAGTCAATAAATGTCCTGAAACCTCATCAGAGATGCTGAACCAGAACCGCCCAGTTGAGCTCCCCCTGCATTCCTAATTTACAGAAATTGTGAGATAATGTTTATTGTTTTAAGTCACTAAGTTTTGGAGTAATTTGTTATGCAGCCATATAACTAATACAGAAGGCAAAATAAAGTCATTTCAGGTTGATAAAAAGTGAACATGCCACCAGCAGACCTATAGTAAAGAAAATGCAAACAAATTTTTCATGTAGAAGGAAAATGAAACCAGATTGTAAGAGATAGAGAAGGAATGAAAAACAAGTAAAGTGATAAATGTGTGTGTAAATCTAATATTTCATCGGGTTTTAAAATATACCACAAGAATAAGATCTAAATAAGTGGAGAGATACATCAGAATTATGAATTGGAAGATTCAATGCTGTTAAATGTTAGTTCTTCCCAAATTGATCTATAGATTCAATGCAATCCCAATTAAAATCCCAGCAGCCTATTTTCTAGAAATTGGCAAACTAATAATAACATTTGTATCAAAAAGCAATAGCATAAAATAGCCAAAAAAATTTTGTAAAAGAACACAGTTGGCCTTGGCCAAATAGCTCAGTTGGTTGGAACCTTGTCCTGATTCACCAAGGTTGCAGGTTTGATCCCCGGTCAGGACACATGCAAGAATCAACCAATGAATGCATAAATAAGTGGAACAATAAATCTCTCTATCTTTCTCTCAAAATCAATTTTAAAAAATATATTTTTATTGATTTCAGAGAGGAAGGGAGAGGGAGAGAAAGATAAAAGTATCAATGATGAGAGAGAATCATTGATTGGCTGCTTCCTGCACATCCCACACTGGGGATCAAGTTCTCAACCTGGGCATGTACCCTGATGGAAATTGAACTGTGACCTCCTGGACCTCCTGGTTCATAGGTCAATCAATGCTCAACCACTGAGTCACACTGGCCAGGCTCAAAACCAATTTTTAAAAATTAAAAATGAAAGAAAGAAAGGAAGGGAGGGAGGGGGAGAGGGAGGGAGGGAGGAAGGGAAGGAGAAAGAAAGGAAGAAAGGAAGAACACAGTAGGATGACTCAAACAATCTGATCTTAAGACTTACTATAAAGCTACAGCAGGGTTGGCAAACTATGGTCCATGGACCAAATCTAACCTGGAGGTTGTTTTTGTAAGTCTTAGAAACTAAAAATGCTTTTTTTAGGTTTTTAAATGTTTGGAAAAAGAAATAAAGAAAAGTATGCAACAGGAATTATAGGTAACCCATTGTTTACAGAAACAGTTTACTAACTCCTGAGTTACAGTATTCAAGGCAGTATAGTGTTGGTAAGAGGACAGACAAATAGATCAATGGAACAGAATAGAGTCCAGAAATAGATTCACACATATATGGTCAATTGATTTTTGACAAAGTACCAAGGTAATTAAATGGAAAAAAGATAGTATTTTTGACAAATTGCACTAGATCAATTAGACAACCATATGCAAAAAAAGGAAGAGGAGGAGGAATAGGAAGGGGGAGGAGGGGAGAGGAGTGGGAGGAGGGGGAGAAGTCTTCTCTCTCTAAAATCAATTTTTTTAATTATTGCAGTACATCGAATTTCACTGTACTGAAATATCTCTGAAATGTAAGAGGAAGTGCTAAAATATCGCTGACAGTAAGACAAGCACTAACTTTACCAAGATTCCACCCAGGGAGGCTTCTGCTTGGGTTGGAAGGACTACACCTATAAACCGCTTAGGCTGGGGATTGAAACGTGAACCTGAGCCCTAACTGGTTTGGCTCAGTGGATAGAGTGTCGGCCTGTGGACTCAAGGGTCCCAGGTTCGATTCCGGTCAAGGGCATGTACCTTGGTTGCGGGCACATACCCAGTGGGGAGTGTGCAGCAGGCAGCTGATTGATGTTTCTCTCTTATTGATGTTTCTAACTCTCTATCCCTCTCCCTCCCTCTCTGTAAAAAATCAAAAAAATATATATATATTTTTTAAAAGCCCACCTGGTGTGGCTCAGGTCACGGTTTGATTCCTGGTCAGGGCACATGCTGGGTTGCGGGCTTAATCCCAAATGTGGGGCATGCAGGAGGCAGCCAATCAATGATTCTCTCATCATTAATGTTTCTATCTCTCTCACCCTCTCCCTTCCTCTCTGAAATCAATAAATATTTTTTTAAAAAAGAATCTCAACCTATGTTCGGAGACAATTCTCCACGGGTCTCTCATGCATCTTCACATCTTAAGAGTTAGACATTAACTCCTTTTGTTCCAGACTGTCTTTTCAAGGATGTTTTCCATGAAACAGACTGGAGATAGTGTCTACCTTCAGAGCAAAGGGCAATTTTTTGTTTTTACTGTTCAGATAAAAAAAATAATGTATTTTTCTGGGGCAAAGGTTGCACAAGTTTGCTTGCAGTCCTTTATAAAAGACTAGTGGCCTGGTGCACGAAATTCGTGCACATTAAAAGGGGGTTAATTAGAGGAAATATTTTAATATTGCTATTTGCCCTTTCTCTATAATAGAAGTGCAGAGATGAAAGAAAATTAGTAAAATGTATATGAAAATCTTCCTCCTGTCAGAGTCTGGGGCACGCCGCGGGACCCAGAGTCAAGTCCCTGCCTACCCGCGTGCATCTTGAAATCACGCGAGACCCAGACCTGGCCGGCCCCACCCCTGTCAAGCCCCACAGGGCAGGGGGAGGGGGGGGTGGGAGCAGTTGAGTGGAACACAGCCTCAGGTCCCCTGGTCCAGTCTCAGGTCCCCCGGCCCTGGTGCAAGGGCGAGACGGTGTGAGGGCACGAGGGCGTGATGACCATTTGCATATTAGCTCTTTATTATATAGAATTGATGTTCCCTAAGCTTGGAGTTGCTGAGCTGTGATACATACCCTCTCTGTGCACCTGTTTGTATTTCATCCACCTGGGTCTTTTGGCATAGCCCCTGTGAGACTTGGGGGACATGGGGAACCAATGCAAACATGAAGCTCACACAGCTTTCTGTGCTGTAATAAAGTTCTTTGTTTCTGTCTCAGGAGTCCTATGTCTTTTGTCAGCATCCATTGAAATTGTGGCAGGGCAACTTGTTAACTTGCAAGTAGGGTAAAATTTTATATCCTTTATTGCTCTTGACAACCCCTACCTTGCATCATATACAAAAATTTTCTTGAAATGAATCATAGACCTAAATGAAAAACCTAAAACTATAAAACTTCCAGAAGAAGACAGGAAATCTTTATGTCATTGGGTTAGACAAAGATTTCTTAGATAGGACCAAAAAGCATAACTCATAAAAGAAAAAAAGAAACTGAATTTCATCAAAATAAAAACTTTTGCTCTTCAAATGACACTTAGGATTGTTAGGGCAGTAAGACTATTCTGTATGTTACTCTAATGGTGAATACACGTCCTTATACATTTGTCAAAACTCATAGAATGTACAACACCAAGAGTGAAACCTAATGTAAACTATGGACTTTGGATAATAATGATGTTTCAGTGTAACAAAATATACCACTCTGGTGGGAGAAGTTGATAGTGGGGGTGGCTATGTGTGTGTAGGGGAGAACATATGGAAACTCTCAATATTTTCCACTCAATTTTGCTGCATAAAATTGCTCTAAAAATAAAGTCTATTTTTTAAAAAAATGGGCAAGAGATCTGCCCTGGCCAGTGTGGCTTAGTTGGTTAAGCACTGTACTCTGAACCAAGAGGTTGCTGGTTCGATTCAGTGTCAGGACACATGCCCAGGCTGCAGGCTTGATCCCTGGTGGGGAGTGTGCAGAAGGCAGCTAATCGATGAATCTCTTATCAATATTTCTCTCTCTTTCTCTCTCCCTCTCCCTTCCTCTCTCTCTAAAATCAATAAAAACAATTTTTAAAAAAGGGAGGGGTGTGGGGCAAGAGAGCCCTAGCCGGTTTGGCTGAGTGGATAGAGTGTCAGCCTGCGGACTAAAGGGTCCCAGGTTTGATTCTGGCCAAGGGCACATGCCCGGTTGCAGACTTGAGCCCTCTCAATAGGGGGCGTGCAGGAGGCAGCCAATCAATGATTCTCTCTCATCATTGATGTTTCTATCTCTCCCCCTTACTCTCTGAAATCAATAAAAAATATATATATTTAAAAATAAATAAATTTATAAAAGGGCAAGAGAGCCCAGTCGTGGTGGCTCAATGGCTGAGCGTCAACCTATGAACCAGGAGGTGATGGTTCAATTCCTGGTCAGGACACATACAAAAATCAACCAATGAATGCATAATAAGTAGAACAACAAATGGGTCTCTCTCTCTCTCTCTCTCTCTCTCACCTTTCCTCTCTATCTCTAATCAATTTTTTTTTAAAAAAGGAATGAAGTATTGACACATGTCACAACATGGGTAAACCTTGAAAACATTATATAAGTGAAAGTGCTAATTATAAAAGACCACATATTGTATGATTCCACTTATGTTAAATGTGCACAATAGGAAATCCAGAGATAAGTAGATTAGTTGTTATGAAAGAGAGCAATTGATAGTGAATATGGGGTTTCTTTTGGGGGGTGATGAAAATGTTCTTTAATTTGTGTTGATGGTTGAATAAATCTGTGAATACACTAATTGAATTAAAAAAACTTTAAATGAGTAAATTTTATGGTTTATGAATTGGACCTCAATAAAAATGTTTAAAAAAAGATAAGGTAGAAAAACTGATTTTTGTCCATGTAAGTAAGTACTCTAAGAAAATCTGAATCATAGAAACAAGTTAGAGATAAAAACTGGTTAGTAACTGGACTTGCCTCAGGGTTCCATATAAGTAATACTAGCATTTTTAAACTACTTCACATTAAAATTTTTTTTTCTGCTTTACATTTTGAAAGCATAAGGTCAACAATTTCATATTATTAAAAACAAAGAATACCGCCCTAGCCAGTTTGGCTCAGTGGATAGAGCTGTAGACTGAGGATTGAAGGGATCTGAGTTGGATTCCGGTCAAGGGCATGTGTCCTGCAGGGGGCATGCAGGAGGCAGCCAATCAATGATTCTCATCATTGGTGTTTCTATCTCTCTCTCCCTCTCCCTTACTCTCTGAAATCAATAAAAAATACATATATTTTTAAAAAGGATACCCATTTGTGCACTTTTGGGTTCTTATAACCTACATACATGTCTGAGTATGTTTGTATATAGGTACATATGTATGCATATACCCCATCATTATCAAAGATGATGCTAAATAAGCTAGTTGCTAGATGACCCCTTAGCTTTTTCACACCTGTGGCTGACACAGCTGTGTAGCTGCAGCTGCTGGTCACAGAGCCCAGGTTCCTATTTGTGGGTCAGCCGTTCCACCTTACAATCAGGTGACAAAGAACTTTGTTCAGCAAGCCCTTATTAGTGTTAAGTTTGGTCACTCACAGGTGGAATTAATTACCAAGAGCCTTGACTGAGTACCTGGTGATGGGCCTGGGAATGCGCTGTTTTAACAAGCCCCTCAGGAGATGTGATCTGCACTCAGTTAGAAAGGCCCAGCTCTGGGCATCTATTCCTGATTGCTGTGGAGAAGCTGAGTCTGTCTTTGGCTTCACAGCCCTGTCCACCCTCTCCTTGTTCACAGGGTGAGAGCAGCATGCCTCCATATTGTTGACCTTAAATGAGATGTCCCTGCACCTGGTGTTGGGTCTGCAGGAACAGTATACTCATAAGACTGCCTGGTATTTCCATTCTGTATGTGGTTTCTGCCTTGTGGGGAGAGGGGGAATGCAGCTGATTTCTCATCAGAAGCAGCAGACAGCACATGGTTGGCTCTGCCCCTGGGCCCCACGCACAACATAGGACCTTCACTGGAGCCCTTAATCCTGGATTCTAGGGCCGGCTCTGTACCCTATGCCACATCTTATAGGGGATGATGGGGAAGCCTATTAGGTCAATAATCTCTCAAGGCTGATGCTGGCTCAAGTGCTTTCCCTGTTACTGCACTGGAATGCTTTCCGGGGTGGGAAATTCACCACGAGCAGCGAAGCTCTTCCGTCTCTCAGGAGGTCTGCTATGTGGTCCTAGAGCAGACAGCAGAGTCATGCCAGCTCACCTGCTCATCTCCTCTGGACACATACATTCTGGCTCCTTCCAACATCTTTTGGAAACACAGGTGTCCCTGTTTGGGTGAAAATCCTTCAGTGGCTCCCCATTCCTCTTAGGATCTGGCCCACAGTCTCTCCCACGGCCTGCGGTCCTTGTGGATGTCTGTGGCCTCACCTCCTGCACTCTCGGACCTTGGCACACAGCTCTTGCTGTTCTCTCACCAGGCCAGGCTCTCTCTGGCCATAGCCTTCTCCTCTGTGTGTGGTTAACGCCTGCTCGGCTCCCAGCGTCCAGCATCATTTCCTTGGCCCCCCAGGTCTGGAGCAGGTTCCTTGCTTGTTTAGACTCCTAGCACTCCGGACCTCTCCCTTATTAAAATTTGTCAACGTTGGACATTTTCACTTGAACGGTTAGGTATTTCACCAATGGCTCCCTCAGCAGATGATCAAGTTCATGAAAGCAGGCCTCTGGGTTTGCTCTCATTGCAGAGGGCCTGGCGGGTCCGTAACTGGGTGAATGACTCGCTCAAGGAAGGCGGGTCCCCCACAACCTGGGTGCGGCGTGGCGACCTCTGGGAATCACTGACGGAACCGGAGCAGCTGCTCGTAAAAGTCCCCCGAACTGAGGAAATTCGTCCGCGAGCCGGGCGCCCGGGGCACCCTCAGGACAAGGACACAGCACAGCTGTGCCTCCAGCTGCCGAGGGAGAGAAAGGGGCGCCTGGTCTCTGCGCTTGGGGGCCTCCGTTTCCCTACCGGTTCCCCCAGGGGTCCGCCGAGAACCGCCCC